AATAGAAATTTTCATATGGAACAGGGTATTTTGAGAGGTTTTAGAGTGGGATATTTAAGGTGAGGGGGAATGTTTTAGTTTTGATTCAGAATATAAACATGTATTACTAATACAATTTAAAATTAACTCTTAAAATGTAACTCATTACCTAAAAAACATTAAACTGTATCTTCAGGGAGGTAGATGACCATGAACTCTAGGATTTCTCTGCCCAGCATGTTTTCCATCTCATTCATGTAACAGTTAAGTAGCTTTGGGAAAGTGTTTCTTCCATAGTGTTGTAGAGCTGGTAACTGAACATGGAAAATGAGAGAAAGACCGGGTTGTGAACAGAAAAGGACACTGGGAAGAGTTTATTTCGAGGATGTTTAGCGAGCTTCTAGTTTCATTACCTTGAAAGTCAGAGAAATTAATGCTGAAATAACTAAGCACACAAGTGGACGACTCATCTAAGAAAACTGAAAAACAGAAAAAAGTAAGCCAAGGGAAGAACACTGAGTTAGGAATAATCACCATTTAAGAATAGCTTTATGCTATTTGGAATGGGAAAGTTGAGAAGTGAAATGATGAAGAAACATGGAAGCAAAGTATGAAACTTTTGTGGAAATTAGAAACTACCAAATGTCAACAAATATGTTATATTTGACGGTTTATAGTTACATAAAATGTATGTGATAGTGGTTTTCTTTTAAGTACATATGTAAACAATGTAAAAATATGCATGGTGATGTCTAAAATAAACGTCAAAATATTAAGAGTAATTGTTTTGAGGTTTGGAGCAAGCTTTCTCAAGCTCCTGTTCTCTTGACCTCACTGGGGGTGACAGGTGTGCAGAAAGAACAAACCATAGAAGAGAGACAATCAGAAGTTGGGTCCAGGCGTGCCAGGCACTGGATGGAGACACAGAACAGCCTTGTTGCTTTCTTACTTATCTTCCCTTTACTCTGCTTCTTTTCCCTCTCTTAAAACCTTACTTCTCTTCTCTGTTCTTTAAAATCTTACTTCTAAAGTCTTCTTTTCTGTTCTTTAAAGTCTCTTTCCTTAGACTCACACTGTCCCATGATTTCTCTTTAGCTTTCTTAAAGTCTCGGTTTAGACTTGCACTGTCCCATGTTCTCTTTAGCTTTTCTTTAGCTTAGCTTTCCTAAAGCCTATGTATAAAGTTCTCCATGCAGAAAGCTGCTCTGGTGGAGACACACAACAGCCAGCGTCAGTGGCAACCAATCAGAATCCCATCAAAAAACCCTTCCATCAATCCCCATCAAAAACCCTTCGTGTCCCCCTACAGTGAGTGAGTCTTTTATATCCAGTGGTACACAAGAAGGAGCAGCAACAGCTCTCCAGGAGGGGCATGACATTGTAACGACAGAAACCTGCATTCCTACTTCTTTCTCTGAATGTAAACACCTAAGGAAAAGCAGCTGTGCCTCTCACGCTCTTCTGCAGCTGGGGCCATGCCAAATTCAGCTCTGGTTCATTCCAGTTGCCCTGGCCCACCCTGTCAGTGGACACCAGGACCTTCCCATGTAATAGGTGAGATGTGCTACTAGGTCGCCTGTCAAGACCAGGCAGCCAGAGCACAGTGGAGCCCTAACAGCTGTCAGAATCTTAACTTTTAGAGTGCCACCTGTCTCAAGCTCCACCCAGCTGCCCGGCCTTGGCGCCGTTTCTGAATCGCTGCATTTCTTCTACCGAGGCCTCAGTGCTCCGCCCACCAGAGGAGATGACAGACCAGAGACGGATCCTCAGAGAGGGCCAAGAGGAAGTCACTGGTCTCCAGAAACCTTTGCCAGAAACTGTTTTTAAGATCACTTGCACTCTTGTCTTAGGAAAGTGAGGGAGACGAGTCAAGACACCGGAAGTATATGGCTGTCACCAACACTGCCATGAATGTAGCTACCTCTCAAACCACCTCTTGCCCTGGCCCTGCCTCTTGCCCAGCCCCGCTTGTCGCTAATCCCCACCCAGGAGATGCCTTTCACAGAGGCCCAGTCTCCTGTCCGGCTCCACTTCTCACTGGGGCCCCGCCCCTCTCCTTTGCCCCTCCCCAGACTTGGTCCAACCCCAGAAATGACAGTTGGGCTAACGCCTCCAAGATTATTCCCGGTGTTCATTCAGTCTTGCAGGTATTATTGACCTCTACTAGATGCTGGTGAACAGCTCAAGTGGCAGAGCACCTGCCTAGCAAGCATGAGACCCTGACTTCAGCCCACTACCACCAAAAGAATAAAAGCGCACCAAATACTTGGCACAGAGCAGTCAAAAGGTAGTCAGTGAAAGATCGACAATTAAAATATTTCAACACACTCTCGCCAAGTTACATACTATATATAAAGTATTTAACTGAGATTATACTAAATAACTATAGCACAGAGTTCTATATATCTTATATATAACATTACTGAAATGACAAAGTTATAAAGATAGAAGCAGTAGATGGAATTGGGCAGGACAGAAGTAGTAGGTATGTCCATTAAATGACAACATAAAGGATTCTTCTGGTCATAAAAAAACACTATCTTGATGATGTCCATGTCAATGTCCTGACTGTTACACTTTTGTAAGACATGTCCAGCAGACAAAACAGGATAAAGTGTACAAGAGATGTATAATTTCTTAAAACTATATGTGAGTCTACCCGTCTCTCAAAATAAATACTTAATTTTCAAAAATTTCAAAAGTGAATGGAAAGAGACATGGATGTTTTATTGTGATGATCTAATATGTGCATATGCATATGTATCAAACTGCATCAAATTGGGTACTTTAACTATATGCAGCTTTTGCACATTTATTATACCTCAATGAAATGGGAGAAGGACAAGGCAGTATTTCTTTTCCTCTCCCCTTTCTCAACAACCGAATCTTATACCCATTCAGAGAACCAAGCAAAATATACATACACCCCAAAAGAGGAGGGAGAGGGGCAGGCAGGAAGCAGAGCTCCAGAAAAAAGAGAGACCAAGCAAGGTGAAAAGGATGTTGGTTACCCAGTGGGTTGAGGAAGGCATGTAGCTAACATAGGTGCCAGGCACATTTATATCTACGCCCAAGTGGGAAGAACACATCCAGACAAGGACAGGACAGTACCAAGGCTAAGATGAATGTAAAGCATATCTTGAAGCAAATGTCCTAAACCCCATTAAGGATAATAAAGCAACTTCTCACTGTCTGAAAAATAAATGACTTACATGTCAAGGGACAAAGCTAGGATCACCTTTTGGTATTGGATCACAATGGAAGGTATTAGTGTGAGCCCTGATTTTCAACATACACAGATAATCAGAGAAATTGTTCAAGATTGGGATGTGTGAATATGTGTGTATGCATTAAAGGAACCAGGAAAACTCAAAGAGATGGTTGAATGCAGGACACATGCAAGGAAAGTACATCATGAGCTTCAAACAGGTTTTTGTGTCAGGAAGCATGACAGGATAGAGATATACCAAAAGAGCATAGGAAAGTCAGATTAAAGTAACTTGTTCAACATGACACAATTGTGGGATCAAAATAATTATTGATTGTAACAGACTGAACTGAATAAAGTAGGAAATCGGAAACTATATTAATATAAATAGAAAGGAAGGAAGGAAATAGAAATTTTCATATGGAACAGGGTATTTTGAGAGGTTTTAGAGTGGGATATTTAAGGTGAGGGGGAATGTTTTAGTTTTGATTCAGAATATAAACATGTATTACTAATACAATTTAAAATTAACTCTTAAAATGTAACTCATTACCTAAAAAATTAAACTGTATCTTCAGGGAGGTAGATGACCATGAACTCTAGGATTTCTCTGCCCAGCATGTTTTCCATCTCATTCATGTAACAGTTAAGTAGCTTTGGGAAAGTGTTTCTTCCATAGTGTTGTAGAGCTGGTAACTGAACATGGAAAATGAGAGAAAGACCGGGTTGTGAACAGAAAAGGACACTGGGAAGAGTTTATTTCGAGGATGTTTAGCGAGCTTCTAGTTTCATTACCTTGAAAGTCAGAGAAATTAATGCTGAAATAACTAAGCACACAAGTGGACGACTCATCTAAGAAAACTGAAAAACAGAAAAAAAGTAAGCCAAGGGAAGAACACTGAGTTAGGAAATAATCAACCATTTAAGAATAGCTTTATGCTATTTGGAATGGGAAAGTTGAGAAGTGAAATGATGAAGAAACATGGAAAGCAAAGTATGAAACTTTTGTGGAAATTAGAAACTACCCAAATGTCAACAAATATGTTATATTTGACGGTTTATAGTTACATAAAATGTATGTGATAGTGGTTTTCTTTTAAGTACATATGTAAACAATGTAAAAATATGCATGGTGATGTCTAAAATAAACGTCAAAATATTAAGAGTAATTGTTTTGAGGTTTGGAGCAAGCTTTCTCAAGCTCCTGTTCTCTTGACCTCACTGGGGTGACAGGTGTGCAGAAAGAACAAACCATAGAAGAGAGACAATCAGAAGTTGGGTCCAGGCGTGCCAGGCACTGGATGGAGACACAGAACAGCCTTGTGCTTTCTTACTTATCTTCCCTTTACTCTGCTTCTTTTCCCTCTCTTAAAACCTTACTTCTCTTCTCTGTTCTTTAAAATCTTACTTCTAAAGTCTTCTTTCTGTTCTTTAAAGTCTCTTTCCTTAGACTCACACTGTCCCATGATTTCTCTTTAGCTTTCTTAAAGTCTCGGTTCTTAGACTTGCACTGTCCCATGTTCTCTTTAGCTTTTCTTTAGCTTAGCTTTCCTAAAGCCTATGTATAAAGTTCTCCATGCAGAAAGCTGCTCTGGTGGAGACACACAACAGCCAGCGTCAGTGGCAACCAATCAGAATCCCCATCAAAAAACCCTTCCATCAATCCCCATCAAAAACCCTTCGTGTCCCCCTACAGTGAGTGAGTCTTTATATCCAGTGGTACACAAGAAGGGCAGCAACAGCTCTCCAGGAGGGGCATGACATTGTAACGACAGAAACCTGCATTCCTACTTCTTTCTCTGAATGTAAACACCTAAGGAAAAGCAGCTGTGCCTCTCACGCTCTTCTGCAGCTGGGGCCATGCCAAATTCAGCTCTGGTTCATTCCAGTTGCCCTGGCCCACCCTGTCAGTGGACACCAGGACCTTCCCATGTAATAGGTGAGATGTGCTACTAGGTCGCCTGTCAAGACCAGGCAGCCAGAGCACAGTGGAGCCCTAACAGCTGTCAGAATCTTAACTTTTAGAGTGCCACCTGTCTCAAGCTCCACCCAGCTGCCCGGCCTTGGCGCCGTTTCTGAATCGCTGCATTTCTTCTACCGAGGCCTCAGTGCTCCGCCCACCAGAGGAGATGACAGACCAGAGACGGATCCTCAGAGAGGGCCAAGAGGAAGTCACTGGTCTCCAGAAACCTTTGCCAGAAACTGTTTTTAAGATCACTTGCACTCTTGTCTTAGGAAAGTGAGGGAGACGAGTCAAGACACCGGAAGTATATGGCTGTCACCAACACTGCCATGAATGTAGCTACCTCTCAAACCCACCTCTTGCCCTGGCCCTGCCTCTTGCCCAGCCCCGCTTGTCGCTAATACCCCAGGAGATGCCTTTCACAGAGGCCCAGTCTCCTGTCCGGCTCCACTTCTCACTGGGGCCCCGCCCCTCTCCTTTGCCCCTCCCCCAGACTTGGTCCAACCCCCAGAAATGACAGTTGGGCTAACGCCTCCAAGATTATTCCCGGTGTTCATTCAGTCTTGCAGGTATTATTGACCTCTACTAGATGCTGGTGAACAGCTCAAGTGGCAGAGCACCTGCCTAGCAAGCATGAGACCCTGACTTCAGCCCACTACCACCAAAAGAATAAAAGCGCACCAAATACTTGGCACAGAGCAGTCAAAAGGTAGTCAGTGAAAGATCGACAATTAAAATATTTCAACACACTCTCGTCGATTTGTAAAGCAAGGCCAGACCCTCGATCCTGAGGATGCTGGCAGGCATAGAAGGAAACCACCTTTCACTACAAATAAAAGAGACATGGGAGACTGAGGTATTTGGGCTATTGTATTTTGTGTACAATGAAAAAGCCCTTTCTCCTTCTTCGGTATCAGTCCAGCACATGTCCTTAATGGAAGGGTAGAAGTTTAGGAAAGTGAAATAGTTTTGAGTAGATGGGCAAGGGAATTGACTAAGAAAGCCATACTTTATGTTCCAACAAGAAAGAAAGCTTTGTTTCCTCGTTGTTCTGTCCACTTCTGGGACAGTTATCACTGCAGGATATCTTCAAGCCTGTTAGAACCTGACTATCCATTGAAAGTGCCTAAATTAATGGTGCCACTAATATCCTTCTATGATTTTTTTTTCAATAGGAATAGGAACTTTCCAGAGTCAAATTCAATCAGTAAAGACAATCCTTACCATAAAGTCAAGAAGTATAAACAAAACTAATCCTGATGGCATCAATGAAAGCCCAGCATGAACCCTGATGACTGCCAGACTTATTCCCAGGCATTTTCAGATGACTAAGTCTACAGTTGTCCTTCATGTTTAAGTTAGTTGAATTATATTTGCTGTCATTTATATCCAAATAATTCCTCACAATAGAGGGCTCTCAATCCTGGCACTCTAATCAATGTTAGACCTCTAGATATATGTATTTATGACTTTCCACGCCCCACCAGTTTCCCTTCTGTTTTTTTTTTTTAAACAAAAGGATAAATATATTACTCAAAGCCTCGTAAAAAAATTGAATGGGCTAATATACATAAAAGCACATATTTGTTCCACAACACCAACGGAAAACAAGCAGTACTTATTTTTTCTAAATGCCCAAAAGTAGCACAAATTCCCACTTTAAAGGGTAGGAAGATATCCAATATTTGTCATCCCCGGGGACCTTTTGCCTATTTAGTTTGGTATTCAAAGGCAAACATGCCAATTTGTTTGCCTATTTAGTTTGGTATTCAAAGGCAAACAATATGCCAAGGTTGGGCAATGCAGTATTTTGTTGCAGATAATGGGGCTTGATAGTTAGTCATCTCAGCAAACACTTTAACCTTTAGGAAATCCTGCAGCCTCCCAGAATATACCCACATGGGACCTACTACTTAAGGAACCTCTCCTTGCATCCTTATTTTCAAGTCACTGGAGCCACTGCACCATTAGGCAGCTCTCCCTTTGACAACCCAGGATCTGACTTAACTCCAACCTCCTAGGAACATTCAGCTCAATTCAACTCCCACGGGAAAAACTGGATTGCACTTTCCAACAGGTGCCTCAGACCTATGTTTAGCATCAGGAAATATGAAAGCCACTAATAACCCTGGAGACCAAGAACCTAGAACTTCCTGGAAGAAAAATATGCAAAGTTAACTTGGATTTCTTTGGAGTCTCCAATGCCAGAGAGTAAAAACAGTAATCAATACCTTGGTAAATGATCCTGCCACAAATGACAATTACTTAAAGTTGAATAAGTAGGTATAGCAATTATCCCTGGACAGGAAATTGTTGTCTCTTGTCATTGCCCCAGAACCTCCCACAGTGAGGCATTGATAAACTTGCATAATCATCAGGTAGGCCCACTCTTGTTGCCACCTCATTTAGGATAGATTACTTCCTAGATGCACGTTGGGCCAAATTCTGCCTCACTGCCCCTTCCATTGTTTCTCTGACTAGAGAAACAAGTATCAGGACACCAGGCATGACTCGTTATGTGACCCACTCAGCCTCGTTAAGCCTGCACATCTCTTTGATTACAGCTGTTGGCCATGGGTACAGACCAGAATGGGAGTTACATGCTCAGAGTTGGCTAGTACTGGCTTTTCTACCAACTGGGTGACTCATTCTGAAATTCAAGCTAGGATTTAAATTTGAGATCATGTATTGCTATATTGAACATATCAATAAGAGCAGAAATTAAACCTTGCAGCATGTAGAATTTTCTCTCTATACAAACCTGGCTACCTCTATAGAGCCTGAAGATTGCTTCTTTATCCTCTGGTCAAAAGCATGAGTACTATAGTTAATAATAATACCTTGTCATATCTGAGCAGTTCTGTTTTTTTACCTGATTGATGTCTATTCCTACACTATGGAGAAACGGATTTCTCACTGAGTAGCAGAGAGACAGAAAGAGAAACCAAGGAAGTCAAGGGTGGGATTACACAAGACATCAAACTGGAGCTCAGGCATGCTGCAGCAATATCAAAGAAGGTGACCCACATCATCACAAACCAGGCACCGAGACCATGTTCCAGATCACAGTTCCAGGCCCACATCTCAGAGCTTTAGCACAGATACCAAAGGTTCTTGTTCTTCTCCACAACTCAGCAAAACTCATCTGTCCATTCCCCTGGGTCCTTTTAGATCCCTCCACCTCCACCTTTTCACAGTTCCATATATTTGCCTTTAGTGAAATGTTTACTGCACCCATTACCAAGAAAGTTCCTGAGACCCTCTCAATGCTTGGTAGTCTTTCCCTGGACTTCACACAATCTTCGAAACGATCTTCATCTTTTAAATGACTCATACCCAGCTTCCTTTACCCATACAGTGCCCTCACCCTTCTGCTTTGTCATTCTTTTACAAAACTCACTCCTTCCTAACATTTTAAAATTCTGCTTCAGTTTTACAAAATAGTGGTGGGCCAAAATCCACACGACCAAACCCATTTCATATGGGGAATAAGCTTCTCATACAGTGACACCATATATCCTCTAATGAGCACAATTTTAATTATATTTAACAATGACTTTTGTTTTGAATTACCCCTACTTACTGCCTCTGTGAAATGTTTATGATCTAATTTCTCCAATTTCTTTTCACTAAAACTGTATACTCTCCCTATACTTGTTAAAACAAAATGTCATGTTTATTAATGGTTCTTATTTATTAGATCTTCCCATATGAGTCAAATGCTTAACATGGATAACCCTTAAAGCCTAAAAGCTTCATTATTTATACACAGCTGAAATTAAGCCCTGTGTCATCTCCTGAATTGCTTGCCTATGGATCTGATGAATCTACCTTGGCCCCAGACAGCCTGTCCTTTGCTTTCCATATGATGAGGGTTTACCAGTAGTAAAAAAGCTTCTTTGCCTGTTTCCTCTGCATTCACAGCTTCTCTTTTGTCTCTACCCAAAAGGAGGTAATCTTCAAGCCTGCCTCCTTCTGCCTCATTTCTCTGTTTTGAAAAATCACCCCATGTAGCTTTGCATCTCTGGCATTTTTTGATTAATTGCTTTTTCATAGAAAATCTAGTCCTGACCACCCTGAGGTCCCTTGGACTGACAAATGTAAAAACACTTTAAATGACTGAGCAAAATAAGTTGCAACAAAAAAAAATCCCCAGGTGAGGGGGTTTATAAAAATAGCCATGTATGGAGGCACGTGCCAGTAATCCTAGCACTCAGGAGGCTGAGGCAGGAGGGTTATGAGTTAAAGGCCAGCCTGGGCTGCATAGTGAGTTTGAAGCCAGCCAATGCTACATAGCAAGACCCTGTCTCAAGAGAAAAAAAGGTGTGTGTCTGTGTGTTTCACATAGAATACATTGCTCAGAAATGGTCATTTAAAAAGGCTAAGAAATTGTTCCAGATTAAAGAGGACTAAAGAAACATGACAACTAAAGGCAATATGTAATTCTACACTGGATCCCATAATGAGGATTTAAAGTACATATAAAAATAAAAGCCACCGAGTATACTCCTATATAAATGACAAAAATGGAATATGGATGAGATATTACTTAAAAGTTTCATGCCAACACTATATTTAATAAAGGGAATATTTAAGAGAATTTTCTTACTGTACAATGAAATATTCAAGGAAAAGTGCATGATGTATGGCATGTCTTCTCAAATATCCAGGAGTGAATGGATGTGAGAGAGAGAGATTGAAAATGGGTGAAATGTTACAGAACATAAATCTGTGTAAGGGTGTACTGTTGACTCCCACCCACATGACTTTTCTGCCTCTTTTTGAGGTATGTAATGTCTATTCTTCATAATAGATCCAGGGCACCAGTCATCTTTTAGAAGCAAAAATAGACAATCAGAAAGAGCACAAATAACTTTTCCATTTCTATACACACAAGCCCTGTTTTACCCAAAAGCCATGCCCCCAATATTGTACACAAAAAAGACAAAAACTTTATCTGAACACTTATTAGGGGCAATCAATAGTCTTAATGGGATAAATTTGAAGGAAAGAAATTTTTCTTTCTGGAAATTCTGTAGAAGTCTTTCTGTTAAAATAATAGAGTCAAAACTCAAAAAGCAGTTCAGCAAAGTTAGGAACAGCTGGAGTATTGTGCATCAAATTGACACAGCAGATGGGTCTTTGATGGGGCTTGGACTCCTTGTGGGGCATGGATTCAGGATGCCTGTGACATAACTTCTCTTGTAATGACACACCAATATAAGGTGGGCCTGACCTGTCTTTGACACATCTATTCCTTATAGGATAATTTTAACCAGCAAAAGCAGCTTGTTGGATGCAGTAATGTCACTTTAGAAAAGAGAGCCTTTACTAAGATTGCTTCTTGTAAAGAGTGGGGGAGGAATCACTCAAGTGTAAGGAGTAGGTGATGAATTCAAATGACTTCTCAATGTTGACTAAATAGCAGAACAGAATTGATTATAGAAGAATGAAGTCCAGTGTTTTTAAATCACCAATTCCATGGACATTTGTTCTGGAAGTGTATGTTCATGTAGAGAGTAAGAAAGCAACATGAGACCCTGAACAAGACACACAGCAAATCTAAGAGATGCGTGGCAAGATTTTTGGACTTTTACCTTTCGCTCAGTATTAAAATTGGGGAGCACCATACATGCCAAATGGCAATTGGGAAAGTTGACTTGGGGATGCACAGGAAGTTATACTCTCTACCTACTCTATGTATGCTTACACATTTTTGTTACCAAAACCCTTTTAAAAATAAGATATTGCCACCTGAGTGAAGGGGCTAAAAAGGATAGCTGACAAGGGTGGTTCAGCCTACCAAGACTATAGTTTAGCCATCCCTCTAAAAAGACATTTCAGGAAATGTCATCAACCTATCTGTGACCCTAGTTATTGTCCGGGACTCACTGCTTGGCTCCACCAAGCCCATGCAGGTGAAAGGTGGCATGGGAATTGTGCTCACTAAGGATAAGATCCTCCATGTGCTCCTCAAGCATGGATGGAAGGAGGTACATGGTGACTTTTTTAAAGAAAGGATGTCATGCCTGATGACAATACTGCAGATATTTAGTGCTGAAAGGACAGCCCAAGTACACTTCTGCCATTGTGGCATAAGTAAGCTATGCAGAGCCCTGGTCAGCCTTGAGGAAGGGCTGACAGGATCAGAGTGGGAAAGAAAGGAGCAGGCCATAATCTGGGGAGGATGGGACAATTAGCCTCTGTTTGAACAGCAAGGTCATGTTTTACCATCTTTATTTTTTTTCTTAATTTCCCACTCTATAGCATCTTTTCTTTAATCTCTGCTGTCTTTGACCCAGGGAGGAAGGTGATTACTGGCAGACATTCCTATCACTGGTGGTGGGGTGGCTTTTTCCTCTGCAAAAATATCAGAACAGGTAACCTGAAGAAATAGCTGGGGAGGGGAAACACTTCCCTTACGTGATTTTCCAGCAGGCAAAACTCAGGGGCAAGGTCAAAATATGCTTATGGAACAAGCCTCACATGAGAGCTTCTTCAGCAGCACCTGCCCTATTCCTGCACTCCACTCCCAATCATCTTTAATCCCTGCCACAAACCTCCAAACCACCTGTGTGATCCTCTGGTCTCTGACAACTGCCACTCTCTTCTCAAAGTTTTACCTGTCCTTGACCCACTCCTCAGATGCAGACAACCTAAATTATCAATGTTCTCAAGGACATTAAAGGGTCGATGTGGAAGAAGGTATGGGCTGCCATACAATGTCACTAAGGCTAAGCTAGTAGACACACCTCTTCCCACTTCACCATGAAATAAGGGTTCTTTCTGAACCATGTAATGTCCATTCTTCAATAAGACATTCAGGTCACCACTCATCTTTTAGAAGCAAAAACAGGCAATCAGAGCACAACTAACTTCTCCCTGTCCATATGTAGAGGCCCTGTGTTACCCAAAAATCCATGTCCCCAACACAGTACACAAAAAAGCACACCAATTTATCACAATATTTATTAAGGGCAATCAATAGTCTTAACAAGAGGTAAATTATTTGGAAGAAACAATGTTTTATTTTTGGCAATTGTGGAGAAGGCTTTTTTGTTTAAATAATTCGAACAAGTCTCCCAAAACTGTACCTTGGGAAAAAGTAGAGGCAGCTGGAGGTGTCTGCCCAACTTCACGCTTACAGATGGGTCTTTGGGGCATGGACTCCCTGTGGGGCATGGAGTCTGGATGCCTTCCTTTGTAATGCCACACCTGTCTGGGGTGGGACTGCCCTGTATTTGACACATGGGTTGCTGACAGGATAAATTTGGCCAGAAAAAGCAGCAGCTTTACTGGACTTCACACTTGTCATTTTATTATGAGGCTTATAATTGAAGGGACGTCCCTGAGTAGGCTCTGCCTGGACCTTCAGTTCTGCCTTGTGTTCAGTTTTCTCAGACTTCCTAGAGGAAGTAAGGGGCACTTGGGGACAGGCCATGGACATGGTGTGCTTCTGCCCCAGTTTCTCTATGACTTTGTTGACTTTGTCAACATTGGTCAGGAGGTTCTGGTTTTTAGTATTCATAGAAAAGGCAGCTCTTCCTTTACCTGGGTCTCTGCCCTGCATGGATGTTGATGGGGAGCTGCCCTTTCCTAGGAAACTTCCATGACTTTTTTCTTTTGCCCCAGGGCAAAGAAACTGAAAAAACTGTTTCATTTGGTTTTTGAAGCTGTTTTCAGGAGGCTGTCGCTTCAGTGACAGGGTTGAGGAGGAATTCCTCCCAAGTGTCATCTTTGATGCCCTGTCTTCAGGCTGGCAGCTCTTCCGTCTGGTCTGGGAAATCACCAACCCTGCATCCCCTCCACCAAGCTCTCCTGTTTTGGGTGCTGGGAGGCAAGGTTTCTTTACAGCTGGAGGGACGTTCTTGTCCTGGCACTTGCGTGAGACATGTTTAGGGACCCAGGGCTCCTGCTCTGGCTGCATGCTGATCCCTTTGTTGTTTAACTGCACATGCAGCACCTGGGAAGCTACCTTGTCCCCACTGGAGACGCACTGGTCTCGAGTAATTAACGTCTTGAAAGAGGCATCTGAGGCCAGGGGCACATGAGCAGGGAGCTCCTGAGCCTGGCTCTGCTTCCTGCTCTCCAGTTTCAGTTTCAATTCCCTAATGAGCTGATCTTTAAATGCAGATTGCTCAGGGTCATGTGAAACTGATGTTCCCACTGAGGACCTTTTAGTGTTTAGGGTAGTTCCTACTTCACCTGGGTTCACGGCTATGATGGGGGAGCTCTCTGACTCATTGGTCTTTAAGATGGTATTAGCTCGTGACTGAAATTCATGGAGCTCCTTTGCTTTGAATATTTCTCTGGACTTGTTAGACTTGGGAAATTGCACTAAATTCCTTGTTGTTTTGCTCTGAAGCTTTTCTATATCATTGCTGATTCTCATTCTCTCATGCATTATCTCACATCCTGTCCCAGCTTGCTTTGTGGGACAGGTCAGCTCAGACCTGTGTCTATTGACTAGCGCAGTCTCTATCTGACTGGCTTCCTGGATGTTGTTATATGTGTGGGGTAAAAAAGTTGTGGGTGTGCCATTCTCAGTTGTGTGGGTGGTAAATTTGTTGTAAGAGGGTGACTCTTTCGGGTCCCCCTGTCCTTGCCCACTCACAGGTGAAGTGGCAGAGGGGGGACTATCTACAAATGAATTGGTTCTTCCTTCCATGACCCCATGAAAAGTGTTCCAGTAAGGAAAGGAGTTGGATGGGTCCTTTTTTACATTGAACATGTCAATGGATTCCTGAGCCCTTTGGGGAAGGCCACTAGTCATCCTCCCATGAAAAATTTTAATATGGTCTTCCAAAATCTCATGCTTGCTGGAATCAGGTGGGGAAACACCCTGGGGGGTGTTAAGGCTGCTGTCCTTGTTCTTGCCCTGGGACATTAGTTGTGTCAAATCACTCTGATTTATTTCGCTGGAGGATTTCTTAGGTAGAGGCAATGTCATCTTGGTCGAATGCCATGAATTTTGTACAACATCAGGGACCTGACCCTCATTGATTTCCTCAAATTTCTTGCTCAAATGTACTTCCAGGGCATCCTTGCTTTTTATCTGACATAGGCTCACACCAAAGGTTCCAGAAAACCCTGAGATATCACCAGCGTGACATTCTACTTCTGTCTTAGTGTCACGTCCTAGGCTGTTATCTGGAGCACCCTGTAGGTGGCTCAACAGATGATTGTTTGGACCAATCTCTAGACTATGTCCCAGTTCCTTCTCCACTCTGTTCTCTAGAGGAAGTGTCTCTGAGCCATTACAGAGCTTCTCATCGAAATTTCTGAGGTTTCTCAATGCATAATTGAGATCTTTGCAGCTTTCATGCTTATAGAATGAGATCCATGAGAGTCCATGACTGCTCTCTGACTCAGAGGTCTGAGGAATTTCTCTGTAAAGTCTCATCTTTGACAGAGACTCAAAAACCCTGTGGGGCAGGCCCCAGCGGTGTTGGATGAGCCTCTTTCGAAGATGATACTCTAGCTTTCCCCGGAGTGCACTGTCCAGGGGAAAATCTCCAGAAAGGATGGAGATTGGAACATAGGCCTTAGAGGAACGGCTGGCCGATGCAAGTTTGGGAGCTGGAGAACAAAATCTTTCCTGGGATCTTTGGACCACAGTGGGTAAACCCCACATGCTTTCCTGCTGTTTCTGTAACACATGGTACTCCAGGTGGTGAATTTCAGGTACAGTGAGAGATTGTGCCTCACTCTGGGGGCTGTGAAAACAAACTCCACAACTCCTAGGCTGGGATAGAGAAGAAGGTGGTAGGACTGGGAGTGGGGATTGAAGCTGGGCCTGGAACTGGTTAAGAGGGACATGGGGGAAGGGAAATTGGGGCAGGGGTTCAGGCAAGGCTTGATACTGGATCTCTGGCGAGGATGAAGCTGTGAAGTGAAGAATTACTGTAGGCTCATGGGCTATAGAAGCCTTGAAGATGCTGTTGAAGCAAGTAAAGTATGAGGGACAGTCACCCGAGGCACACACAGTAGGTCTCAGGGACTCACTGTGTAGACAGGGGAGACCCCAGAAGAGCTGCATGCAGTTTTTCTGAAATTGGTCTTCAATGGTCTTCAGACATGGGGGTTGCTGTGACATGTTCAGGTCAGCTGGTTTCCCTGTGCTGCTCCCAAAGGGAAGGGAGATTGCAGAGTCCTGCTGATCAGTAACTGACTGTAAGATTTTCCCAGCAGGATTCAGTTGGTACTCTAGCTTAAACTGGTTTTGAAATGATTTTGTTTTCTTTTCCTTATCTTTTGACATTAGGAAATCAGCCCTGTTTTTAGTTTGTCTCTCCAAGAGTGTCAGGACATCAGGGCTGAGAAATGTAAGCATTCCGGACACTACAACGTAGACTGTAGTGTCTCCCAAAAAAGAGGCTTGAGGAAAATGGAGGTCGACAAGCTCTTGGTTAATATCATGTGCCAACTCAGATGTTGGCACATTCTCAGCATGAGGTTGCTGACACGAGAATTCTGACATAGAAATATTTTCACTGTCATCAACTTTGGTTGTTGTGACATTGGTGGAGAATTCAGCAGGACCGTCCATGAGAGACAAAGTGTCACTTCTTTGGAGGACGGGTCCTGTTTGCTGCATATGATGTAGTAGGGGAGGGGGAAGTGCAAGGGTCTCAGGTGGGAATGGCTCCACTGGGAATTGGGAATCCAAGGGAGAATTAGGCTCTGGTGGCAGAGAGTCACCCAGTGGTGAGGGGGAAAGTAAGTCCTCCAAAGGAGTGTCCTGGTTGAGTGAGACAGTGGAAAAGGAAGGTGGACAAGGTTCAGGTGGAGGAGCTGGAACTGAATGTCCTGGAGAGATTTTTGAGCAAGCAGAGGTCAGAGCAAATGATGACTTAGCCACAGGGGCTGTGGAAGCCAAATGTGACCCAGAGGTAGCAGCAGCTGCCATGGATGCCCGAGAGAGGAGAAGACTGACCTTAGCCGTGGTTCTATTACACACTTTACAGAGGGGGTCTGGGCACAGCAGTTGCCGAACGTGGATGATATCATAAGGCTGGCCCGGGGGGCTGCAGAAAACAAAGTACAAAATTATAGTCAGGACCGGTATGGGGAAAGGAGGGTCTGGGGCTTAGTGGGGGTTGGGTGCTTGCCACACCCATTACATTCTCCCACACTTGTGACTTCACAAAACACTCTATAGCCTCTCCCCAGAACCTTCCTTCACGTGCCCGCTGATTTGGCTACCCCTCCCATGACTAATGTAGGCTGTTACGGAAACACATGAAATAAGGAACCAGGAAATAATCAGAAGACTAATCACCTTTGTAGGATAGACAGCAACCTCCTCCCCTCTGCTTCTTCTCTCTGGCGTATTCTCCGACCTGGTGACAATGGGATACATATAATGAGGAAGGCATTGGTTCATACAGGATTCCCTTGATGGGAAACACTTAGGATATTAAAGTCTGAAAGTCCTAAGAATCAGTAGACAAAGCCAAGTGGTCAAGGACAGTATTAAGCAGGTTCATGGGTGTGTGACCTCACTTATAAGTATCTTCACACTGTCATGAGATATTAAGCTGAAAGTCACACCCCATAATGTAGAGTGCCCGCTTTTCAAGCATGAAGCCCTGAGTCAAACCCCAGCTCACCCAGAAAAACACCCCAGGAAGCAGAGAAATCAGTGGTTACCTCAGAAATGATTGTGAGCACCCAGGAGGAAAGCACTTTGCACAATATCAGGGACACAAGTTCTGACTCCAAAGCATCCCATAGTCCATCCTAAACATCTCCTTTGGCCACTTATTGATACACCCCTGCTCAGGTCCATCACTACCTCATGCCCATGCCTGGGAAGAATAGGGACTGAGAATTATCTGTTTTCCTGTAACCTCTCCTCTAGAGGCTCAGTTTGCTTAGGGAGAATGTGCCTCTTTCTAGCAGCTGACTTCCTTAGAGACCACGGACCTGGGCTCACAGAAAGGGACAGGAGGGGGTCAGCCTTGGAGAACTAAAGTCAAACAGAAGAATCATACCTCTAAACGCTCTTCTCCTTTTCCTCGTGATTTTTCTTTGTGGCTGAAAACAAAAGAATGAGAGAATGTGATTCATTTCTTTTGCTCCTCTGTACCTCAGACATTCATCATTTTAGAATCATAGGTCTTCATTTTAATAGAACTTTGTTCCTTCCTTTTATTACCATTTAAAGGTGATACCAAGCATTTTCAAGTTTTCCTTTAAAAGGGTTTTGTCTGTGAGAGCCACATTTTGAGGCCCTCAGAGACCAACACTAATCTTCTGACCACCCCCACATAAAGGAAAGCTGGTTGAACAGACACCTTACATGGGGATGGAACTCAGGAACAATTATTCCCATTCATAAAAAGCTAATCTCTCTAGATAAACCAATTAGGACCACGGGATCACTGTTTAGAATTTTAACCTAGAACCCTGCAGCACAACCAGAGTGTTTGTGGACTTCCTTTGAAAACATTAGTCCTCCATAACCTCCCTCCCCACATCAGGCCTCAAGCCTGAGAACAGAATGCTTTGTCTTCTTCTCAGACTTCCCATGTCAGATGGCTCTCCGAGTCAGCCAATTTCATTTTCTCATGTGAGAATGTCCACAAACAATCTCTCCTTGTTGGGGTTCACCCATCCTTCCTTACCTTTGGGTTGTCTTGATTATTCAGCAATCTTATATACCAAAAGCCCAAAAACAGCAACCCCAAGGCACCCAGAAAGGTGTACTTGGGGTCAGTTTCTAAGGCACTTATGACAAAATTGTCCATTTCTCAATGTCGCTATTCAGAAAAGAGATACTCTCCATACTCTGAATCGCACTGCTGCCTGAGGCAACTGAGTTCTGACAGGGCATGGGCTTGGCTATATACCCAGGCTTGCATCACAAAGCTTGAGAGAGTCATAAAGATCTCTGAGGTCAGGGGAGCAAGGAGTGCCCATAGCCCCTCTCGTACCCACTAGTCCAAACCAATTAGGACCACTGGACCACTGTTTAGAATTTTAACCTAGAACCCTGCAGCACAACCAGAGTGTTTGTGGACTTCCTTTGAAAACATTAGTCCTCCATAACCTCCCTCCCCACATCAGGCCTCAAGCCTGAGAACAGAATGCTTTGTCTTCTTCTCAGACTTCCCATGTCAGATGGCTCTCTGAGTCAGCCAAACTCTTTCAAGAATGTGAGAATGAACGTCAAAAATGTCCACAAAGAATCTCTCCTTGCTGGGGTTCACCCATCCTTCCTTACCTTTGGGATGTCTTGATTATTCAGCAATCTTGTTATATACCACAAGCCCAAAAACAGCAACCCCAAGGCACCCAGAAAGGTGTACTTGGGGTCAGTTTCTAAGGCACTTATGACAAAATTGTCCATTTCTCAATGTCGCTATTCAGAAAAGAGATACTCTCCATACTCTGAATCGCACTGCTGCCTGAGGCAACTGAGTTCTGACAGGGCATGGGCTTGGCTATATACCCAGGCTTGCATCACAAAGCTTGAGAGAGTCATAAAGATCTATGAGGTCAGGGGAGCAAGGAGTGCCCATAGCCCCTCACCTACCCACTAGCCCAAACCAATTAGGACCACTGGATCACTGTTTAGAATTTTGACCTAGAACCCTCCAGCACAACCAGAGTGTTTGTGGACTTCCTTTGAAAACATTAGTCCTCCATAACCTCCCTCCCGACATCAGGCCTCAAACCTCAGAGCAGAATGCTTTGTCTTCTTCTCAGACTTCCCATGTCAGATGGCTCTCTGAGTCAGCCAAACTCTTTCAGTAATGTGAGAATGAACGTCAAAAATGTCCACAAAGAATCTCTCCTTGCTGGGGTTCACCCATCCTTCCTTACCTTTGGGATGTCTTGATCATTCAGCAATCTTGTTACATAGCACAATCCCAAAAACACCAACCCCAAGGCACCCAGAAAGGTGTACTTGGGGTCAGTTTCTAAGGCACTTATGACAAAATTGTCCATTTCTCAATGTCGCTATTCAGAAAAGAGATACTCTCCATACTCTGAATCGCACTGCTGCCTGAGGCAACTGAGTTCTGACAGGGCATGGGCTTGGCTATATACCCAGGCTTGCATCACAAAGCTTGAGAGAGTCATAAAGATCTATGAGGTCAGGGGAGCAAGGAGTGCCCATAGCCCCTCACCTACCCACTAGCCCAAACCAATTAGGACCACTGGATCACTGTTTAGAATTTTGACCTAGAACCCTCCAGCACAGCCAGAGTGTTTGTGGACTTCCTTTGAAAACATTAGTCCTCCATAACCTCCCTCCCGACATCAGGCCTCAAACCTCAGAGCAGAATGCTTTGTCTTCTTCTCAGACTTCCCATGTCAGATGGCTCTCTGAGTCAGCCAAACTCTTTCAGTAATGTGAGAATGAACGTCAAAAATGTCCACAAAGAATCTCTCCTTGCTGGGGTTCACCCATCCTTCCTTACCTTTGGGATGTCTTGATCATTCAGCAATCTTGTTACATACCACAATCCCAAAAACACCAACCCCAAGGCACCCAGAAAGGTGTACTTGGGGTCAGTTTCTAAGGCACTTATGACAAAATTGTCCATTTCTCAATGTCGCTATTCAGAAAAGAGATACTCTCCATACTCTGAATCGCATTGCTGCCTGAGGCAACTGAGTTCTGACAGGGCATGGGCTTGGCTATAAACCCAGGCTTGCATCACAAAGCTTGAGAGAGTCATAAAGATCTATGAGGTCAGGGGAGCAAGGAGTGCCCATAGCCCCTCTCGTACCCACTAGCCCAAACCAATTAGGACCACTGAACCACTGTTTAGAATTTTAACCTAGAACCCTCCAGCACAACCAGAGTGTTTGTGGACTTCCTTTGAAAACCTTAGTCCTCCATAACCTCCCTCCCCACATCAGGCCTCAAGCCTGAGAGCAGAATGCTTTGTCTTCTTCTCAGACTTCCCATATCAGATGGCTCTCTGAGTCAGCCAAACTCATTCAAAAATGTGAGAATGAACGTCAAAAATGTCCACAAAGAATCTCTCCTTGTTGGGGTTCACCCATCCTTCCTTACCTTTGGGTTGTCTTGATTATTCAGCAATCTTGTTATATACCACAAGCCCAAAAACAGCAGCCCCAAGGCACCCAGAAAGGTGTACTTGGGGTCAGTTTCTAAGGCACTTATGACAAAATTGTCCATTTCTCAATGTCGCTATTCAGAAAAGAGATACTCTCCATACTCTGAATCGCACTGCTGCCTGAGGCAACTGAGTTCTGACAGGGCATGGGCTTGGCTATATACCCAGGCTTGCATCACAAAGCTTGAGAGAGTCATAAAGATCTCTGAGGTCAGGGGAGCAAGGAGTGCCCATAGCCCCTCTTGTACCCACTAGCCCAAACCAATTAGGACCACTGGACCACTGTTTAGAATTTTAACCTAGAACCCTGCAGCACAACCAGAGTGTTTGTGGACTTCCTTTGAAAACATTAGTCCTCCATAACCTCCCTCCCCACATCAGGCCTCAAGCCTGAGAACAGAATGCTTTGTCTTCTTCTCAGACTTCCCATGTCAGATGGCTCTCCGAGTCAGCCAATTTCATTTTCTCATGTGACAATGTCCACAAAGAATCTCTCCTTGTTGGGGTTCACCCATCCTTCCTTACCTTTGGGTTGTCTTGATTATTCAGCAATCTTATATACCACAAGCCCAAAAACAGCAACCCCAAGGCACCCAGAAAGGTGTACTTGGGATCAGTTTCTAAGGCACTTATGACAAAATTGTCCATTTCTCAATGTCGCTATTCAGAAAAGAGATACTCTCCATACTCTGAATCGCATTGCTGCCTGAGGCAACTGAGTTCTGACAGGGCATGGGCTTGGCTATATACCCAGGCTTGCATCACAAAGCTTGAGAGAGTCATAAAGATCTATGAGGTCAGGCGAGCAAGGAGTGCCCATAGCCCCTCTCGTACCCACTAGCCCAAACCAATTAGGACCACTGGACCACTGTTTAGAATTTTAACCTAGAACCCTCCAGCACAACCAGAGTGTTTGTGGACTTCCTTTGAAAACCTTAGTCCTCCATAACCTCCCTCCCCACATCAGGCCTCAAGCCTGAGAGCAGAATGCTTTGTCTTCTTCTCAGACTTCCCATATCAGATGTCTCTCTGAGTCAGCCAAACTCATTCAAAAATGTGAGAATGAACGTCAAAAATGTCCACAAAGAATCTCTCCTTGTTGGGGTTCACCCATCCTTCCTTACCTTTGGGTTGTCTTGATTATTCAGCAATCTTGTTATATACCACAAGCCCAAAAACAGCAACCCCAAGGCACCCAGAAAGGTGTACTTGGGGTCAGTTTCTAAGGCACTTATGACAAAATTGTCCATTTCTCAATGTCGCTATTCAGAAAAGAGATACTCTCCATACTCTGAATCGCACTGCTGCCTGAGGCAACTGAGTTCTGACAGGGCATGGGCTTGGCTATATACCCAGGCTTGCATCACAAAGCTTGAGAGAGTCATAAAGGTCTCTGAGGTCAGGGGAACAAGGCGTGCCCATAGCCCCTCACCTACCCACTAGCCCAAACCAATTAGGACCACTGGATCACTGTTTAGAATTTTAACCTAGAACCCTCCAGCACAACCAGAGTGTTTGTGGACTTCCTTTGAAGACCTTAGTCCTCCATAACCTCCCTCCCCACATCAGGCCTCAAGCCTGAGAACAGAATGCTTTGTCTTCTTCTCAGAATTCCCATGTCCGATGGCTCTCTGAGAGTCAGCCAAACTCATTCAATAATGTGCGAATGAACGTCAAAAATGCCAACAAAGAATCTCGCCTTCTTGGGGTTCACCCATCCTTCCTTACCTTTGCGATGTCTTGATTATTCAGCAATCTTGTTATATACCACAAGCCCAAAAACAGCAACCCCAAGGCACCCAGAAAGGTGTACTTGGGGTCAGTTTCTAAGGCACTTATGACAAAATTGTCCATTTCTCAATGTCGCTATTCAGAAAAGAGATACTCTCCATACTCTGAATCGCATTGCTGCCTGAGGCAACTGAGTTCTGACAGGGCATGGGCTTGGCTATATACCCAGGCTTGCATCACAAAGCTTGAGAGAGTCATAAAGATCTCTGAGGTCAGGGGAGCAAGGAGTGCCCATAGCCCCTCTCGTACCAACTAGCCCAAACCAATTAGGACCACGGGATCAGTTTAGAATTTTAACCTAGAACCCTCCAGCACAACCAGAGTGTTTGTGGACTTCCTTTGAAAACCTTAGTCCTCCATAACCTCCCTCCCCACATTAGGCCTCAAGCCTGAGAACAGAATGCTTTGTCTTCTTCTCAGAATTCCCATGTCAGATGGTGCTCTGAGTCAGCCAAACTCATTTTATAATGTGAGAATGAACATCAAAAATGTCCACAAAGAATGTCTCCTTGTTGGGGTTCACCCATCCTTCCTTACCTTTGGGTTGTCTTGATTATTTAGCAATCTTGTTATATACCACAAGCCCAAAAACAGCAACCCCAAGGCACCCAGAAAGGTGTACTTGGGGTCAGTTTCTAAGGCACTTATGACAAAATTGTCCATTTCTCAATGTCGCTATTCAGAAAAGAGATACTCTCCATACTCTGAATCGCACTGCTGCCTGAGGCAACTGAGTTCTGACAGGGCATGGGCTTGGCTATATACCCAGGCTTGCATCACAAAGCTTGAGAGAGTCATAAAGATCTATGAGGTCAGGGGAACAAGGCGTTCCTATAGCCCCACCCCTACCCAGTAGCCCTCCTGAACCCTCTCCATAGCCTTGCTGCTCTACTTTCCAAAGAAGGCTTTAGATAAGCTCACTGCTTCCCCACGGGGAAATCTGTGTTATACTTGGTTAATAATGTTACTTTAGGATTAATTCATCCAGAAAAGTTCAAACTTATATTCATAAACTAACCACCAAGCTTCTCAACTTTGAGAAGATGGTTTTCATTGGAAAATACCTAGTCATGGTTATCGTCTCTTCTCCTCTCATTGGGACCTCTACTATATATTTTACTGCTTTTCACCATCAGTTCTTGCTTTATTAATGTTCTAACCCGATTTGTTTCTTCTCACCTCCAAGCAATAAAGTCAAAAATGATCCTACCACCTGATCCTTCAGTGCTTCTTAGCCTCCTAGACCAGGCTATTGTACAATTTTATTCTGGTATTCAATTAGATTTTGCCAAATCCCAACTGACTGCTCCAAAGTCCTCTGCCAGAATAACAAATACATAGGGTGGGACATCTCCACAACCCTGCCCAGCTTGAAGAAGTTACTAGAAGATGAGAACTCCACCTCTCTAAAACCACAATTAGTTTTGTTATTCTGGCAAGGGGGAATATGGAGGAGGCCTCCATTTTATGGACATATGGCAGACAAAGGAATACAAGGAACAGATGGAATGTGGAGGGTGGACTGGGCCCAGATAGAATACAGAAAAAGCCAAGCTTGCAGATATGTTCCTGTGTGGGGAAAATTCAAGGTATGGTCCAAGGAAGAGACAAATCAATCAGTAAGGTCCACAAATGGAGCAGACTATCAAAAGCAGCTTAACCCAAGAATTTCAAACTAACTCTGGTCTGTGTCTCAATGCTCTATGCTCCTTTGTGAGTCACCCACCATAGTTTCCCCTTGCAATGACATCCTAATAAATCTTTGCTTTCTCCTACTCTCTGTCTCAGTAAATTCTTTTACAACCTGAAGCTTCCCAAATTCATGAGAAGATTGACTCAAATGATTAACAAGAGTAATTCTTCATTCAACATTCACCAAAAAATGAGTATAAACTAAAGAGATATAAAATTAAAACAAAGTGGTCTTGGGGATATGTTGATAGCAAATATTTTTCTTCAGCTATTTAAGTTTAAACCATACAAAGACTTGCAATTGGTGTACATACACACACACACACACACACACACACACACACACTTACAAATCCAACATTTTCTTTTTTTCAGTACTGGGGCTTGAACTCAGGGCCTTCACCTTGAGCCACTCCACCAGCCCTATTTTTGTGAAGGACTTTTCAAGAGAGGGTCTCGTGAAACTACTTGCCCAGGCTGGGTTTGAACTGCAATCTTCCTGATCGCTGCCTCCTGAATAGCTAGGATTACAGGCATGGACCACCAGCGCCCAGCATATCCAGCATTTTCAAATTCATGAATCAATTGATTCCATCTTTTATTTCAACATTTCATTTATTACTTTACCTTGCTTCTACCTACCTAAAGTACAGTTTTGTCCCACACAGCAATTTCAAAACATGTATGCCCTTCTCTCAAACCAGAGGTAGGTTACAGTGTGGTAAGTGGGGATCCCCTGCATCCTTGGTGGCAGGGTGGGACCTAGGAGTGTCACAGCTTGAGCAGCAGCATCTAATTACTCATCAGAAGTGTACCTGTGATCTTTTCCTAAGTGTCATGTCATGAAAAAACATTGAGAAGATCTGCTGAAAATGATCACCCTGCAAATGTCTAAAAATTAACACTATTCAGGTGCCACCAGTAAGTTTGAAATAATCTCTAAATCCCACACCCCAACCCTGTTCATACACTTTGTC